AAATGCTTGTATAACTTTCATCCTTTCTCCAGGTTCATAGGGTTTCCAGAGGCAAGCTATTTTGGAAGTGGATGCCACTCCTGCTTCCAAGCTTGTTTTAATTGGGGAGCTCCACCAAACACTGTCCACCATGAGTATCCATTCTTGCATTTGACACGTCAGTGTCACAGTATTCCGCTTCACAGCAACCACAAGTTTCTTCTCTGTACAACAAGTGGACAGGCCAGGGCTATATGACCTAGAAGAATAGCAGGCCATTTTTCATGTGCACCTACATATGAAACCAATTCTCCCTTGAACCAAACTCAGGCATTTTCCTCCTTCGTTGGGTGTCATTGGGGACCCTTCCATGTAGACTTGGGATGAGCTGAGGGAGAGGGTCTGGTGTCTTGGTGGATGGCCTGGGCATCTGGCTAGCTGTCCATGAGCGAATCTCTGGCCCTGCTCATTTCTGGTCCTGGGTGCACCGCTTACAAGGATTTTTGTTGGGTTCCCTTGACTTTGTGACTTGGTGGGCCAAAAGAGCCCATTTGGACTTCTTAGTTCCTTGGTGTCCCATAGTCAGACCCCCCTCTCTCCTCTAAGGCTGGGTGGTGCTCCAGGAGCTGCTCACTGACTGGAGTTTCGGTCTCTGCTGCAGATACACGACCTTGGTCCAGAGCCCTAAGCATCTGATTGTCGTTCTCCCACCAAAGTCTGCTATAAAGTGTGTACAGAATCCTTCCCACCACTGACACTTCTTATACCCCGTGGTGGTGGTGTTCTTGTTATGTCCTGATGAGTTGGAACCGACTCATAGCTGACCCTCCAGTGAGTTCTCAGAGGCTGTAAATCACACAGGAGGAGACCGCCCACCTTTCCTGGGGAGCAGCTGGTGGATTCGAATCATGTGACTTTGAGTGAGCAGCTCCTTATCCCTTGGAGCCCTTGAATGGCATGGCCCACGCAGGCACCTTGCTGCATCTGGGACCTACTCATAGCCTTTCCTGCTCTGGGCCTCTCCCATGGTAGCAGGCAGCTTTAGGCGTCACTTGGCAAATGGACGGAAGTAGAATTCTTAAGGGTGGAATTACTGCTTCCACAACACAAAGAGGTCAACCAGATGTATGTTTCCTTCCAAAGAATATGGCACACAACGTGTAATAATCTCTCCTTTACTTTGAAGGGGATTCCTAGAATGAGCCTGACCAACGAAAGGTTTCACTGATGTGCCAAACCCCTGAATCTTGATAGAGTTTATTTCTCACTCTCCTGAGTACCTGTGTCTAAGTTTCCAATATACTTGCTATTCTTGCTCATCTGGTCTCATTAGAATTATGTCATCATTAGCATCATATAATCTTGATATTAGACCAGCATGATCCTCCGATCCCTTCAGACTCTGAGATGACAGAGTTAATACCATCCTGGGCCACAGCTGTTGTCCATCCCACATGGATGCAAACTGGTCCTGATCCTCTTCCCTGGAATAGATAGATAAATGATGCCAGGGCAACGATCACACACCACGTGTGCTCTGGGGAAGACATCACATCGGCACAGCAGCTCTAACTGGCACTCTCCTTGATTGTTTGGCCATGGTCTGCTGCTCTCCTCCAGACAGAAGTGCACCGTCACCCTCAAAGGCATCCTTTAGGTATTCAAAGCTGGCACTTGCATCTGCTGTTCTCCTCAAGATGAACGTGATATCTGATGTACTCTCCTAGCTGTGGGTTGGGGCACAACCTCACGAACTTCCTCTCAAACCTTCTGCACTACTGTGAGTCTGACCCCAAGGATGCCCATTCCAATCAAGCAGTTGAGGACCAGGGATATGTCTAGGAACTGAGCAGAGCCACTGTGCACTGGATCTGGGTCAGGACTTCATCAATGACTTGGTCTCTGTATCTATCAGTTGCTATCAAGTCAATTCCACCTCTTAGTTATCCCCTATGGGTCAGAACATAATTGGGGCTCATTGAGTTTTTCAACAGTTAACTTTTCCGAAATAAGTGATCAGGCCTTTCCTCCAAGGTGCCTAGCCTTTTACTTAGCACTCCAGTGTATTAGCAGCATCACACAGGGTCTCCTCATCACTAAGAGGAGACTTCATGAGGTCTCAGTTCTTGAGTTTCAGTGATCTTGGAGTCTTATGTCCAGTAATCATCAAAAGGTCTGAGTATCCCCTTTCTCCTTGGTTACTGGAGGGATTGGCCTCTGGTTCCCTGGGGAAGGATCGCTGCCTTACATACTTGTCACAACAGTAAAGCATCTTTACTCCTGGGACCCAGCTGCTTCTTCAGTTAAAAAGTTCTGAGCCTGAAAACTAGCTCTGGTGCAGGAACTAGGAAAGGGGGCTTTGCTTTTTATTGCAGAAACAGCCCTTTGTGAGGGACATATGATAAACAAGACAGCTCCCTTTGGTTGGAGTAATTGTGTGGAGAGGGACCCAGGTGTGAACCATCAGCAAGGTGAACACCCAGCAGTTGAGAAGTGGCTTCCCTAGTCTTGAGAGAGTAGCTGCATGGTACAACTCAGCACCCATTATATTTATGTTGGACCCTTGCTGTGTGTTAAGATATTTGGCAGATGTTTGGGACACTTCAGCTCTTTTGATCCTGACAATACTCTCTAAAGTAAGCATGATGATTCACCTTATACAAACAAGTATGTTCTATTAGTTAAATTATTAATGTGACTACTGTAACAAGAAAGCTTAGGAGACCAATGACAGACACAATCTCAATGCTTGTTTCTCTTTCCTTGAAAATCCAAGTGGGTAGGAGCTTGAAGAGAATGTGACTACTCTGGTCCCTACAGTTTGCTGGAACCCAGACTCCTTCTAGTTTAGGGTCCAGCCACTCCCTACATGTACCCCTAGACCCAAATCTATGATGACTGCTCAGTCGATGGGAGTGAGGCGTAAGAGAAAGGGAATACTTGGTCTGCTTTTCACATACAGATGGTAATCTGTCCTAGTACTATCTTTAAGAAATGTGACTGGACACGTCCTAAAACTAAGACTTGAAGGTCAGAGAGGATTGGCTAGGCAGACAGGAGAAGGCATTCCAGAGTAGAGGAAATTGCAAAGATGCATCGGGGTTGAGGGAAGACAGAGAAGAAGGGGAGGAATGATGCATACTGCATTGAAACAGAAGAGGGAGAGAACTGTTTAAAAGGGATCTGTGATTGGGTATTATTGTCATGACAGGAGTCCAGAATGAAGGCTGCACAGTGGAGTGGGCTGGGGGGAAAGGGATTGCATAACAATGAAAGAGTTTTTTCTTTTACCTTTCAAGGAGAAGAGTGAATTGGGGGGAGGGCAGGGGGGCAGGGAGAAAAGTACAACAATGAATAACTGGAAACCCTAAGTCTCTTTAAACTTTCATTAAAATTAAGGAAAAAAAGAAAAAAGAAATTGCAAAGATGGAGAGCTAAAATTGAATGTTGACCATTTCAGGACAGGGAGGTGGTCAGGCTAGACAAAAGGCTCACAGAGGAAAATGAGACTGGACTGTTGAGGCTTTGGGAATCATGGAGGCCCCTGGACCTGCATGAGGACTTCGCCCTTTAAGAGTGGAGATTTTGATCAAGAGAGTGTTCAATGTTGTGCATAAGTCACAAAAAGGGATGAGTCTAATATGTAAGGTGAAGACAGAATGCCAGCACACAGCTATCATTAACTCTTCTCCAGGTGAAGAGGACCCACGTAGGCTTTGAGATTAGTCCAATCCAAGGTCCCATCCTCACTCACCCACCCTGGCTCTATGAGACCTCAGTCAGTCACTCTCTCACCCTACATCTGTAGCAGAGATAATTAAGTGCCTCCCGACTCTAGCCTCCCGACTCCCTTACATAGTAAGGAAATTGTGCAGAGCCGTGGGGCCATCCCCCTGAGGCTCATTTGCCAGCCTCCCTTGCAGCTGTGGTCATATGACTTCATTCCAGTCTCATGGATCATGAGACCCAGCAGCGTGTCATCTCCTGGACGTATGAATGCCTAAGTGAATAGTGTATGTGTGAACCATCAAAGGGATGAACTAAGGTTCCAGTGAGGGATGAAACCCCACAACTATTCACTCAGTGAAGACTGTTTTGAGCATCTTCATGTGCCAGGCTTTGTCTGGGTGTTGGGAGATGAAGCAACAAGCACAATAGTTGAAGTGTCTGTCGGCCTGGGGTTGAGAATTTAAAGAAAGGCACAGAGAAGATGTAAGTAAATGAGATAATTCAGGGAGTCTGTATCCAAAGAGGCAGAGGAAACTTAAAAGTAGGAATTGGAGAACAGAAACTGCTTCAGACAGTCAGGAAAGACTTCTTGGAGGAGGTGTTGTGTGAGGCCTGGGATTGAGTGAAGAGGGCAGATGAATTGTGAGTTTCTGGAGCAAGAGTGACCCACAGAGAGGAAATAGCAAGGACAAAGGCTCTGAGGAAGGGAGTATGCAGTGTGGCTGGAGCAAAGGGTGGTGGTGGTGGTGGTGGTTGTTATGTGCCATCAAGGCGCTTGCGACTCATAGCGATCCTAGGTACAAGAGCCCTAAACCCTGCTCTATCCTGTGCCAACCCCACCATCTTAGACACACTCACTCCCACCACACCAATCATTGAATCAATTCATCTCATCGAGGATCTTCCTCTCATGCACTGTCCCTCCACTCCTAAACATGATGTCCCTCTCTAAGGACCAGTCCCTCCTTGCAACATGCCCAAAGTATGTCAGACAAAGCTTCAGAATCCTTGACTCCAAGGAGCATTCTGGTTTCACCCTCTGCAGGACAAACCTGTTTGTTCTCCTAGCAGTCCATGGCATATTCAGTACTCTTCTCTAGCACCACAGCTCAAAGGCATCAGTTCTCTTTCTATCATCCCTAGTCACTGTCCAACTCTCCAATGTATAGCAAGTAATTGTGAAGACTATAGCCCAGATCAGGCGCACCTTGGTCTCCAGCCTGACGTCGTTGCTCTTCAGTACTCTTGAGAGGTATCGAATGAAGTTGATGGATACCCACTTCTCTCTGCAGACCCAGCGGAGCTGAGCAGCGGGGAGGTGGAGGAGCTGCAGCAGATCAAATGGCACCGAAAGCAGCTTCTGGAGGACATCCAGGTACATGCACACGTTCACATCCACACACATAAGCTCACACCACACACTGCCCAACCACACGTGCTCCTGAGACCTCACACTCCTCACCCACTCCTCAGACAGGCTCAGCCCAGGGCATCTGGCTCGTCCACCCCCCTGAGAGGTGGGGGCAACACAAATGCAGAAACATCCCAGGGGACTCCCCCCTTCTGGGCTTGCAGCTGGAATCCAGAAAGAGTGAGAAAGAAGAAGGCAGGGATAATACCCATTAATCACCTAATGTGTGTAAGGATGATATAGTCCTTAAGGAGTTGTGCTGCAATGTAAAGGTGGCTGGTTCAAATCCACCACTAGGAGATGGGCAATCCACTCCTATGCAATTTATAGCCTCTGAAAACCAGCTAGAGGGTCAGCAATTGAGATGGTTCTGACTTGATGGCAGTGAACTTTTTGAGCATGTATCTCTGAGAAACCCTGATAGTGTAGTGCATTACGTGTCAGACTGCTATCCAAAAGGTTGGCAGTTCAAGTCCATCAACTACTCCCCAGTGAGAAGAGGCTGGCCAATCTCTTCCTTTAGAGATTTACAGCCTCAGAGACTCGACAGAGACTGCCATGTGTCAGAAATGACACGATGGTGAGGTTTTGGGATTGATAGCCTAGTGGTAAGAAGCTGCACTGCAATCTGAAAGGCACATGGTTTGAATCCACCTGCTTCTCTATGGGAGAAAGATGAGCAATCTCCTCCTGTGTGATTTACAGCTTCTGAAAGCTTGCTGGAGGGTCAGCTATGAGTCAGTTCTGACTCAACAGCACACAACGACAAACTGTCTAGGGAGCTCTGGTGCTGCAGGGTACAGGCAGTCCTCTCTGGTGACTCCTCTACAGCTACAAGGGAGAAAGGTGGGCAGTGTCCTCCTGCAGAGATTTACAGCCCTGGAAATGCGAATGAGTCCAAGAGTCAGACTGGAAAGCAGGGTTTGGGTTGGTTGTTTTTGTGGGTTTGTTTGGGCTTTTTTGGTTTTGGGTTTTATTTGGTTTTTTTGTTTTGATTTTAGGGTATTTTGGGGTTTGGTACGTGTATATATCTTTAAACATACTTCTTCATGTGACAAGTTCCAGCCCCAGCCATGCAGCCTTCTCTGGGCCTCATATTCACACAGGGGCATAGCTTCCTCCTAAAAGTTTAGACCACGTTTGAGAGGGCCCAGCTGTGTGTCCCCACTCCACACTCAGTGACAGCCTGGTTTCTAAGTCTTTCTCTGTCACAGCAGCCCTCTGTGCCAGGCCTGGGGCTGTCCCTACAGCACTCCAGGCTCAGTCCTGCCGCTGGGCCTTTGCACTAATGTCCCCTTCATCAGGGATTCTCCCAAGCTCTCCCCATGGCCCCTAATCATGTTTCATTATCAGCTCTGATATCACCTCCTTATAAGAGGCTGCCCTGGATGAGCTTCCTGCAGCACTCACACACACACACACCTAACTACACTATCATCTTGAATATTTCAACTGCCCATGACCACCAGTCGTCAGCTTCACCAGGGTCTCCCCATCTCTACACCCCCCCTTTCAGTCATCAGTGTCCAGGTAATACCTGCACGTGGGCTCCGTCTTACCTAGGGGTCAGTCACTTGGTGGCTCAGTGGAGATCCTACAGAGAGGTCCAGACAAGCCTTCTGACCATCCCATCACCAGCATCCCACAGATCAGGGTGGGCGGGATGCTGCAATGTCCTACAGGAAAGCGGCTCTGGGGATCGAGTCCCTGGGAGTTCCCCTGCTAACTGGACACCAGCAGCGGCTCCGAGGGAGAAGGATGGTCAACCCTTCCCGTGCGATCTGCAGTCTCGCAAACCAACAGAGCTCTGTCTGCTGTGAGTCAGCTCTGACTCAGCAGCAATGAGTACAGGAAGGAGCTGGTCCTCCCTGCCCCCTCTCCCAGCCAGCCCAGGGGTAGTTACTGACAGGACAAGGTCCCTGGGACACCCCTGTTCTCTTCTCTGAGCCTCAGTCTCCCCGCTACATCCTGGTGCCTTCATGGCTCTGAGCCTTTGGAAATGGTGAGCCACAGAGTTCACAGACCAAAGGAGGGAAGTCGGAGAGGATCTGGGCCGGACTGCAGAGCAAACTGTCTATCCAGCACTGAGGAAGCAATAGGGAGCCATGGAGGGTGTTTGAGCAGGGATAGAGGGAGCCTCCGAGCTTCAGATAGGCCAGTGGCTGGAGAAGGGTTTGGCTGAGATGCACTTGGCTGGAGCTGGGAGACTTTACAGCTGCAGACGGAAGGGATGGGAAGGCTGGAAGTGGAGATGCAATTGGGGGAGAGCTTTCTCGGGTACATCCCAAGTCTTAGGGTGCAGGGCTTGGAGAGTGTGGAGGATAAATTCACTTGGGGACAGTGTACCCTCCCCAGGCAGTTTTCTTGGTTCTTTGTCAACTTGAGAAGGAAAAGGGGGGATCTTCTGCAAAAGGTCCTTCAGGCTTGGGGCTCAGGACAGAAGCTGGGGAAAGGCCAGATTTGGGAGCCACACCCAGAAGTGGGAGTGGATGAGGCCCCTTCCTCTCTGACTCTTCCTCTCTGCCCGGCCCACCTGCCACCCACAGAAGCTGAAGGATGAGATTGCAGATGTGTTCGCCCAAATAGACTGCTTCGAAAGCGCAGAAGAAAGGTGAGGGCCCTGGGGGGGACCTGTGAAAGCCCCCTGTCGCCGACCGAGAATGTCACATCCTGTAAATGGGGAGGAATCCTGAGCCCTGGTGAAACTGGGGATCCTCCCTGGGAGGACACAAAAGCTGCTGGGTGGGAAAGGGGGGGTGCCTGACCTTTATCTCTCAGAGCTGGTCCTGTCCTTGTTCATAGACAGGCCCCTTTCTAGAGGTGAACCCCCAGTCACCCATTCCTTTTGCCTCAACGTCTCCCCAGCCCAGCACCTGACCAGTCACTGGAAGGCAAGCTCAGCCCCAGGACTGACAAGGAAACTCAGAGTATAGTGGAGGCCAAAGGAGTCCTAATGGCCAGCTGTTCCAAGAGAGAAAGGCCTGGCAATCTTCTCCCTCAGAAGCTTATTGTTAGGTACCAATGCGATTCATAGTGACCCTGTGAACAACAGATCGGAACTCTGTCCTGTCCTGTGCCATCCTCACAATCTCTGACACACCCAAGCCCATTGCTGCAGTCACTGTGTCAGTCCATGTGGTTGAGGGTCTTCCTCGCCTTTGCTGTCGCTTTACCTTTCCAAACATCATGTCACTCTCCAAGGAACAGCCTCTCCTAACAACATGCCCAGAGTGTGTAAGATGAAGCTTCGCCATCATTGCCTCCAGGGAGCGCTCTGGCCTCACTCTTTCCAACATAAATTTGTTCATTCTCTTGTCCATCCATGGGGTGTTCAGGACTCTTCTCCAAGACCACAGCTCATAGGCATCAGTTCTTCTGCTGAGCTGTGCTGCAATCCCAAGGACACACAGTCCAAATCCACCAGCTGCTCTGTGGGAGAAGGATGGGCAATATCCTCCTGTGTGACTTACAGCCTCTGAAAACCCGCTGGAGGGTCAGTCAGCTCTGGCTCGATAGCATATAGCAACCAAAAAGCTCAAAAGCTAGAAAACCAAGTGCACGGCTCTCCAGTTGACGCAGCTCCTAGTGGACCTTCCAGCTTCCAAGCCTGCAAATCTTCACAGGTGGAGACTGTCATTCTCCTGCTGAGTGCGGGTGGATTCGAACTGTTGGCCTTTCAGTTAACATGCCAATGTGTTATACGACAGCCTGGGAAACGTGATATGACAGTTCTACCCCATTATATATAGATGGGCCTCTGTGGTTCAGAATAAGACCCAAAGGTGCACAGGAACTGTAATAACAGAAGGGGAAAAAAAGAGGACAGCCCGAGTGTGAGCCAGGCTGGTGTCCTGCCCACCCCAGCCCTCATCTGGGAAGACCTTCGATGGCTTTATGACCTGCGCTGATCTCTACCCTCCGGGGACCTCAGTTTCCCCATTTGTGCAGTGAGAAGATTGATCCACAATCCCTAGTGTTCCAGCCTGCTGACTCCTACACATGGTGGCCCCAGGAACTCTCACACTCACTCTCCCTGACACCCCTTCTATGACTTCCAGTTTGGTCCCCTTTCTGAACATACACACACACACACGTGAGTATGACTGGCCACCATCGGACCAACAGGCGACACCATGACAAATGGAGAAAAGACCGAAACTGTCAACAGCTTCATCTTACTTGGATCCATAGTCAAGACACAGAGGACCAGCAGTCAGGAAACCAGGAGGTGTATTCCACCAGGAACCAGGAAATTCTCTAGGCAGGGACCTCTCCAAATTGTTGAGGAGCAATGATGTCAGTTTGAGGACTAAGGTGCATCTGATTCAGGTCATGGTCTTTTCAGTTGCTTGCTATACATCTGAGAACTGGGCAGTGAATAAGGATGACAGAAGAAGTAGTGATGCCTTTGGACTGGTGGTGTTGGAGAAGAGTCCTGAACATCCCATGGGCTGCCAAAACAACAAACAATTATGTCCTGGTGAAAGTGCAACCAGAGAGCTCCTTGGAGGCAAGAATGGCAGAGCTTTGTCTCCCATCCTTTGGGCATGTTGCTAAGAGAGATTATTCCTTGGAGAGGGACATCATGCTTGGGAAGGTGGAGGGTCAGTAAAGGAGAAGAAAACCCTCAATGAGATGGATTGACACGGTGACTGCAGCGATGGGCTCAAGTGTGTCTGAGATGGTGAAGACGGCACAGGACAGGACAGGGCTCAGGTCTGTTGTTCACAGGGTCGCTATGAGTCGTACTCAACTTGGTGGCATCTAACAAGGACAGAGCACCTGTCCTCAGCTGATATCCCTGCTTTAAGCTCCAGCAATGCTGGCAGACAAGGCTGGGGCCATCCCCATTTTACAGATGAGGATACTGAGGCCCAGAGTCAGTCACCCAGTGAACGGTCGACTGAGATCTGCACATGTTAGTCTGACTTCAGAGTCCCAGCTCTCCTAGGCCTCCCTCTTGTGTTGCCCAGCGTACCTCTAAATGCTCTCCGGATTCTATGACGGTGGTTCTCCTTGATGACAGTCTGGTGCTGGGCTTGTGGGGAAAGTCATAGCTCCGGGGAGCTTTCCACACCTGTTATTTCTCATGCTGTCCTGGGTAACTCCAGGGCAAGGCCCGGGCACTGTACGTGGGGGTCCCTAGGGAATGTTGGCTCAAGCCACATGAAGGGCCCATGGGGCTGGGAGGGCCACCCTGGGTTCCGGGGCAGCCCTGACTGACAGTCTCCTGTCCACAGCCGGATGGCCCAAAAGAAGAAGGAGCTATGCATTGGGCGCAAGAAGTTCAACATGGACCCCAGCAAGGTATGCAAGTGGTCTGGGTCAAGCTGTGCCTCCCTTCATTCTCCTCAACTGGCACAGTAGCCCAATTTATAGATGAGGAGACTGAGGCCCACCAGGCAGACGGGACATGGGGCCCTGTCAACTCCACAGCACTGTAGCCCCAGGATGGAAGTGTTGTGTTGTGTTGTGTTGTGTTGTGTTGTGTTGTGTTGTGTTGAACCTACGATGTCCACAGGTGTGAGAAAGTCCCTGGCCCTCCTGGACCCTCTGTCTCCTCTTCTATGAATGAATCTACAGTGGGATCCTTAGATTCTGGGCCTCAGTATCCAGATGGGTCTTTAGGCCACCTGGCTGGGTGGGAGCCAATCCTGTGGTGCCCTCTCTCACGTCCCCGCAGCTGGCAGGAATACTGCAGGCCCAGGGCTCAGCTCCTGCTCTGCCCCTCCTCCACTACCCCTACCCCATGGCCTCTAAACAACCCCCCATCCCCCACCCAGTGAGGTGGCAGCCAGGGGCTTCATTTCCTGTCAGAGACAGGAGGAAGCCACATGCTGAAAGGTGGGGTCAGCCAGCCACGCTGGGGACCCTGGAAATTTACTACTCCTGTTAGAAGGCAAGCTGTCCCTCTACCCATCACAAACCCACAGCCACAGACCTTCAGGGCCCCCCTCATCCACACACACCCCCACCCCACCCCCAAGTATGAACACAAGTCCTCATCTGAGAAGAGCAGGTCCCACCCACCCTCCACCCGTCACCCGTCACCCCAGACCACCAGCTCTGTCTCCATGTCCCAGGCACCTCTTGAGGGAAAGTGAAGACATGATCTTAACATCCAGAAACAACCCCCTCAAGTTCTCAAAGTTAAAAGACAGACCCTGGCAGCAGGGGGAGGGGAGCCCTGTCTCAGAAGAGTGGGTTTCAAGGCTGCAGCAAGTCTGTTCCATTTCCACCTAAACAGAAAAGGGAAGCAGCCACCAGGGACACTGTCACTACACCAGCCGCCAAAGTGGGGTGACTTCCTCCCCCTGGTACTCAGCTGAAGATCTGGGGTATTTTCCCCCCTCATTTCACCCAATGCACATGGATTACTTAAGGGAGGGGGCGAACCAAAACACTATTTAAAAATAACAAGGTTTTCAGAGGGAAAAAAATGAAAAGTAGAATCTTAGAATTACAAACATAAAGAATCATTTATGCATAAAATCAAAACCCATCAAGCTAAAGGCAGCCCTGGGGAGCACTTGGCAGGAATCCAGTTTTGTATAAAAGCCTCATCTCTCCTTGCATACCTCCAGTGACAGGGAACTCACCACCTCACAAAGGCAGATTTTTATGAAGACATTTCTGTTAAGGGATAGAACTTCCCCAAACATGTGGTGTCAATGCCAGAATGCCAGATCCCTGGGCTCTCATCATGGACATGCCTCCTTGTCTCTCCTTCTAGGCTGGCTGCTCTGTGTGGGCTTCTCAGGGCCTCTGTCTCTCTCTTACAGGGCATTCAGTATCTCATTGAACACAAACTCCTCACATCTGACGTCCAGGACATCGCTCAGTTCCTCTACAAGGGCGAGGGCCTCAACAAGACGGCGATAGGCATCTACCTCGGGGAGAGGTAAGGGGAGAAAATCCTCAAGAGGGAGGCAGGGCAAAGAGTCTATAGAAATACCTTGATCAAAATGGGGGGAATATAAAACAGAATTTCAAATGTTCCTGGAAACCAGACTTTCCAAAGCCCTGAAGACTGAATGAATGAACCCTCAATTACTGCACCGAGATAATCTTTGAACCTGGAACCAAAAAATATTCCCTGAAGCTTTCTTAAAACCAAACAATGATTTAATTTAACTAGCAAGGAATGTCAGCTTGGAACCTTTATGTCCTTTTAAGGACTACCCATATGGGATCCAATTGGCAGCAGCAACTTGAACTATTAGAGGGCACGCAGTTTATGTTAAACAAGGAGGCAAAATTCTGAAAAGAAAGGTGAGAATAGTCACACAAATCAAAGAGTTTTCAGCATCAATGAACTGCACATGCAGAAATTTCAAGCCATGTATGTTACCACTATGCATGTTGTTGTTGTTGTTTTTGTTGATTGCTTTCGAGTCGAGCACGACTCATAGCAACCCTATGAACAAAAGTCCTGAAGCCCCTCTACAACTATCGACACTTATCAAAGTTCACAGAGTTTGCGGAGGCACGTTGTTTAGGAAGCGGATGCCACACCTGCTTCCTACCACTGTGTATAGTCTCCACATAAGATAAATAAACTATAGAGAAGACATTTGGTATCAGCAATCAGGAAACCAGGAGACATATTGCACTCGGGAAATCTGCAGTTAGGGACCTCTCCAAATTATCAAGGAGTAATGATGTCCGTTTGAGGACTAAGGTGCTTCTGATTCAAGACATGGTCTTTCTAATCACTTGCTATGCTGAGAGCGGGACAATGAATAGGGATGACAGAAGAATTGATGCCATTGAGCTGTGGTGTTGGAGGAGAGTGCTGAACATCCCATGGACAGCCAAAGGAACAAACAGATATACCTTGGACAGGGTACAGCTGGAGTGCTCTTTGGAGGCAAGAATGATGAGGCTTCACCTCACATACTTCAGGCATGTTGCTTGGAGGGGCTATTCCTTGGAGAGGAACATTATGCTGGGAAGGATGGAGGGTCAACAAAGGAGAGAAAGACCCTCAACCAGGTAGATTGACACGGTGACTGCTGCAATGGGCTCTTGTGTGTCAGGAAGTGCGAGGATGGCACAGGATAGGACAGATCTGTTGTTCATAGTGTCTCTATGTGTTGTACTTGACTTGACAGCATCTAACAACAACATAAAGACAACAAAGAGGGAATCAGGGACTGAGGGCACAGAGTTGTAGGGTAAGCAAGCATGGGGGAGATATAGATGTGAGTAAGAAAATGAATAATGACTATAAAGTCATACTTCTTGGGGTTTAAGGGTGCTAACTGTTCACCCCCGTCCAGATTCTAAACCAAAGCCTACCTACTTTTCTTCATTCATTCATGCCTCCCATTCATTTATTCAACACACATAATTTTAGAATCTGCTGTGTGCCAAGTCCTGCCACAATCCCAGATTTGCACCAAAGAACAAGACAGACAAAGCCCCTTACCCTGGGGAAGGCCCGTTCTGTAGGAGAGATAAATTCTATCATACATGTATATGCTTGACAACTTCTACACCATTTTTTTTAAGGACACAGTTAAAGGAGATTAGACGTGCTGGAGGACATAGATTGGGGACTGTGATTTTAAATAGTGTGGACAGGAGGGTCTCAGAGAAGTGACATTTGACCAGAACGTGAGGTATGGGTCCTAGGGAGCCGTGTGACAATCCAGAGTGAGAGCATTCCAGGCAGAGGAACCGCCAGTGCAAAGGCCCAGAGGCAAGTACGTGCCCAGGGGAAAGGAATGTTTGGGGAACTCCAGAACAGAGTGAGGGGAGAAGAAGGGGGGCAAAAAGGGGATCCCTAAGACACTGCTGAGATTGGTGTCTGTCACCCCCTCCCATGCCCTTCTTCCCATCCAAGACCATATGGAATACTTTGTGACATTTATTATCAATTTTAATAGTAGAATTATAAGTGATAACTATCGTTTAAGTTGCTTAAATGCAAATTAATTCAATTATATGGTTACTAACAAGAAAATAATTCTTGCTTTTGTTGTTATGGGTCATTGAGTCAGAGCTGAACAACAGCTGACCTCTAGTGGGTCTTCAGAGGTAATAAATAGCCTAGGAGGAGACTGCACATTGACACCTTTGAGCTGTGATGCGGGAGGGGGGGTGCTGAGTAGCCCAGGGGCTGCCAAAAGAATAAACAGAGACGTCTTGGGGAAAGTGCAGCCAGAGTGCTCCTTGGAGGCAAGGATGATGGGGCTTCATCTCTCATGCCTTGGGCATGTTGCCAGGAGAAGTTATTCCTTGGAAGGAAACATTGTGCTTGGAAAGGTGGAGGGTCCTCAAAGGAGAGGAAGACCCCAACAAGGTGGACTGACACAGTGACTTCAGCAGCGGGCTCAGATGTCAGAGATGATGAGGGCGGCACAGGGTAGGAGAGGGGTCTGCTGTCCATGGAACCACTAAGGTGTCATACTCAACTCCATGGCCCCTAACAACAGCCATGCTGTGGAACCTTCCAGCACTGAAGAACAATTTCACTGGTGTTCCAATGATGCAACCCAGCAGAAAGCTTTTTCTGTGTTTTTCCTTTTCCTTCAATTACTACTTTATTCTCCAAAACGGTATTGATAAAGGTTCACAAATAATTAATTACCACAATAATGTAGCTAAAACACCAGAAATTTTATGAAAATCAGCCACTTAAGAGTTTTATGAGCTACCATCAAGCTGTGCAGATAAAACCACATGATTTGAAACTTTGTAACTGGGTGCTGAAGACAGCTCTGACAAGAACACTGTACAAAGTTCAAAATGGAGATTAGCAGGAAGTTCTGAAGTACGTGAATACATGTTTCAGAGAGCTGGACAATGATTAGGGACATAGAAGGAGAATTGATGCCTTTGAGCTGTGGTGCTGGAGAAGAGTGTTGAATATACCATGGATTGCTAGGAAACAAACAGGTTTGGCCTAGAGAGGGTGAAACCAGGCTGCTCCTTGGAGGCAAGGATTCTTAAGCTTCGTCTGACATACTTTGGACATGTTGCAAGGAGGGACCAGTCCTTGGAGAAGGAGGTCATACTTGAGAGGGTGGAGGGACAGCGCAGGAGAGGAAGACCCTGGATGAGATGGATTGATGCAGTGATTGGGGTGATGGGAGGACGTGTGTCAGAGACAATAAGGTTGACACAGGATAGAACATGATGTAGGACTATTGTATATAGGGTCGCTATGAGTCGCAGGCGACTTGACGGCACATGACAACAACAACCATGTGTAACCTAGGTTGAGAGGGCTCTGGTAGTGCTTTGGTTAAGGTATTGGGATGCTAAGTGAAATATCTGAGTGTTTCGTCTTCCAGCAGCTTGAGGGGAGAAGGATGAGGCAATCCATTTTCATAAAGTCTTAGAAAGCCTATGAGCACTTCTGGTCTGTGGATCACTATGTGTCAGAATTGATTCGGCAGCGGGGGTGGTGGGTGGTTTGTTTTTCTTTTTTTCTGTTATTGTTTTTTTTTTTTTATTTCCAATAAAGCTGGGCTTACAAAAAATGTTTTTATTGTTATAACTGACTACAGGGAACTTTTTATTAAAAATCATAAATTTCTGCCAAATGTCTGCCCAAACACTGTCGACCGCTGCCCTGAGGTGGGTTCGCGCTCACAGAAACCCCCCAGCAGGTCGCTGAGGCTGTGAATAGGAATCTTTGTGGGAGAAGCATGCCCGTCTTTCTCACTGGGTGTAGCTGGGGGCTCAAACCGCTGACGTCACCCACGGCAACCTCGGGGCTTTTTAAACACTACAATCCTTTTGGTGTCCTCTCTGACACTGTTGCCCGATGTGGTGCACACTCTTCTAGTGACAGCACTGGGGATCCATGGAAGGTTCTGGACAGAGGGCGGGTTTGGCTGCTGATGGGGGTGGAGGGCTGTTGAGAACATGGCTGGAGCGAGGAGACCAGAGAGAAGGCATCTGCAGCTGCCCAGATGGTGATGAAGGCTGCCTACAGTGGTGAGGGTGGCGGGAGATGAGTCCCGGTCATCTCCCCCCTGCGTGATCAGCTCCCCAGTGGGCAGCATGGCCCAGTCTCCCTGGACCACCTTGTGCTTCCCTCTCTTTCCCTCTGAACTGAGCCCCACTCCTGAGTGCAGGAAGTTCGGTGGTGGGCAGGTGTTTCCCGCCACAGACAGGGCTCAGTCAATGAGCCAGTGACCTGTCTCCCAGGTTCCCAGGAAGGAGACCCTCACCCTTGAGGAGGACAGGAAGTGCAGGAGCAGGAAGGGGGCCTTCTTTGACTTGGGAGGAATAGGGGCACATTGGCATCTATTTTTTTAGAGGAGGGCCCTGGAGTTTGGGAGGTCAGAAGGCTTGAGTAGGGTCACCCAGGGAGGAAATGACAGGTGAAGGATTTGAATTCAGAGCGGGCTGTCTCTCAGCCAGTGCTGGGAGCCATCCTGTGTAGGAGGACATCTGCAGCCCCAAGGGAAGGCATGGGTGTGGACACATGGGGTGTGAAGTCAGAGGAGGCAGATGTGAGCAGACTCCACCACCAGGAGACCAGGGCCAGCAGGTCCCCAGGGGCAGAGCACCCAGCAGTCCCCCCTCCTCTCTCTTCCCAGGGACCCCATCAACCTGCAGGTTCTCCAGGCCTTTGTGGACTGCCATGAGTTCTCCAACCTCAACCTCGTCCAGGCCCTCAGGTGAGTGCCCCGGGGGACAGAGGGGAGGAAGCAGGGACCCAGGGAGGCACAGCGCAGGGGTGGGGAGGTGCAACAGGGTCAGCCACAAACAGGGTCAGAAGCCATGAAGGAGCGACAGGGAGCAACGATTGATTCAGGAGAGTCTCTGTTCCTTAGGCAAGGGATGGTGCAGCTGGACAATACCTGCGGACTGCCCACGCCAGAGCCTGGCTCTTTGTGCCATTGTTGTTGTTATTATTATTGCTGTTGTTGTTATAAATGCAATTAGCCATTATAATCACATCAAATCATTATCACACTTCTCGTATTACTCCCATGGCTACCCCTTGTCTGCATTGGTACTTGCTTTTCTTTCTTTTATTACTCCAGCTAATACATAGTGCCCTTATTATTACCAATTATTTTCTTATTAAGATGTTATTGTTGCTGCTCTTATTTTTATTACTGTAGTGCAGTCTTCCGGTTAGAGGCACAAACTCTGGGAGCTCAGCTTCTCAGTTCAGCTCCACCACTTGTGTCCCATGTGGTTTTGATAAAATCACAGCAGTAAAAAGCCCTCTTTAGGCCTCGGTTTCCTCATCTGTAAAATAGGGGTAACAGCAGTGCCCTCTGCATAGGGTTATGAGGACTAACTGAGGGGCTGGCCCATGGGGGTGGGGATGGTGGTGGTGTTACCTAGAAGAACGGCTCCTATGAGGGGCTATTTGATCTGGGCTTTGTGGCATGAATAGGAGTATGTCAGATAAAAAAGGGAAGAAACCATCACCTTCCAGGCAGGGTGACCTTTCTTCCAACTCCCTTGCTCTTTAAGGAATAAGGGGCAATGTCTTGGGATGTCCCCATGTTTATTAATTAATTCCTTCCCCCAATCATTCAAGAAGATTCACCAAGCATTTCACTCCTGGGTGCCCCAGCCTGTGCTGGGCCTGCAGAGGGCGAGGTCAGAGTAGCCAAGGCCCTTGCTCAGGGAACTTTGCTGGAAGCCATGGAAACCAATGACTTCCAGAGTCTCAGGAGGGGAGAGGCGCTTGTTCTGTACCCCAGCCACATCCTGGGGTGAATGGCCAGGTCTTTTCTTCTGAGGAGCGGAACTGGGCTGTGAACAAGGCTGAGATCTTTGTGTGCAGGGAGCAGGGCACGTCCAACCCTGGAGTTCTGAGAGTTAAAAGCATCCCTGGATGTGTACCACCTCCCTGAGTATGACACCAGGTGTAGACTCCCATCTGGGGGCCGGAGCGATTGAGTGCTGGTCAGGGTCTCAGCAGGAGCCCCCCACCCCCCACTGCCCATGGCCCTATCCTCCTACAGGCAGTTCCTATGGAGTTTCCGGCTGCCGGGGGAGGCCCAGAAAATCGACCGGATGATGGAGACCTTCGCCACCCGATACTGCCTCTGCAACCCGGGCGTTTTCCAGTCTACAGGTTCCAGGAACAGGGAGGGACCTGGGACTTGAACCCCTTCACCACCGCCAGGCAGGGCACCATGACCACCTGGCACCATCAGGCTGCCTCACACAGCAAGGCTCCAGGAGCCTGATTCCTTCCTCACTGAGCACCGGCTTCATGTTAGACCCTCTGCTAAGTACTCCCTCTGCTGTAGGCATCACCCCGGGGGGCGGGGGGTAGGATGTGATGGCCCAGGGACCCAGGACAGAAGTAGCATGCCAGTGGAGGGTGACGAGCCCTGCCTGAGAGTGAGGGCTGAGTCGTCGTCAGCAAGTCCAGGATGGCTTCTCAGAGAAGGGGGGTGGGTCTGACTAGAGTTTTGAAGGATGAATAGGAGTCTTCTAGGATGTCAAAGGAGAACGAAGCTTTGGGGGCAGGAACTTCAGGGCGATACAAGTTTCAGAAGCATGGAGCAGCCTGAGGGAAGTGTGGGGAAAGGGAGAATAAAAGGAGAGCAGGAAAAGTCAATCTCCAAGGTTATCTCCATAGCCACCCCCAGGGCTGACCAAATGCCTGTGCAGAGACACTGGAAGGGTAGCCTGGGAGGATCTTTCTGAAGTTACAGCAACAACAAAAGTCAGTTCCACATATGAGGCACTCCACTGTGTATTAAGGGCTTTGTATCTACAAAGCCACTTGGCCTTTCATATCAACTCCATGAGGTCAAAACGAATTTGTTCTTACGGAGTTGAACGGAAGCACAGAGAATTAGTAACTCATCCAAGGATTTGTTGTTGTTGTTGTTGTGTACCATTGAGTCAGAACTGGCCCAGAGCTCACTCCCAGCAGGTTTTCAGAGGCAGTAAATAGGATGGGTGGAGATTGTCCACTTTTCTCCCACGGAGCAGCTGGTGGATTCAAACTGCATACCTTCATGTTGGCAGTGCAACTCCTTACCCTCTGAGCCACCACAGCTCCCTCATCCAAGGACACACAGCCAAGAAATGACAGACTCAGAATCTGTCTGGCTCCAAAGCCCACAGTATGATCCACTTTACTCACAGACTCACATCCGCAGAACCAGGATGCCTGGTGCCCACCTCATAGCCTTACATTCTGTTCTGACTTGGTCCCCTCCAGTGATGGGGCACTCACTACCTCATTAATATCCTGTGTGATCGATGGTGCCTCTTCAGAGCTTCCCCCTACAAGTTCTTCAGAGGTGGGAGTACAGTGAGATTAAGACCCACAGCCCCCCTCCCCGACACATCCAAGTCCCGGTATCCAGGCCCCCTGCCTCTCCTATCACTCAGCTCATGAACTACTCCACTTTGAACCCCTTTACCTAAAGTGCCGAGTCTAGAGCTCTCACATCAGTTCCTCTGACATCCCCTCGTGTCCCTTGTGGCCAGCTCCTAAGTGGCCACTGGGCATGGACAGTGACCAAGATGGCTGATGTCCTGTCCTTACAGAAAGCTCAGATGAAGACCTGGCCCCTCCCAGAACCCCAGCCATCCAGAGGCCATCACCTGCTCATAGGTGGTCCCGGGGACACAGAGAGGTTAGCACAGGACAAGTGCCACCGTGCCAGTGATCAGAGCTAGAATCATAGTATTCTAGAAGACCGAGATAAGCCCGAGACTCAGAAGTACTTCTTCAAGGTCGGCCGAGAGCTGGGGGCACAGCTGGGCTTCCCTGGCTCTGGATGCAGGGTTTAAATACACCTCACAAGACCCAGAGTGGCAGCCACCTCCCCACCAAGCCACCAGCCCAGCCTGGCTCTGGAGCACGTGGAAGTCTGAATAGGAAAGCTGCAGCTCAGCGCCACAGCCCACAGAGCCAGCAGGACTGCGCGTGATTAAGCCCCGAACACTGGTGCCAACAATGAGTGTTCTCCAGTGGAGAACAAGCAGAGAACAGAGTGGGCAGGGCGGCTGGAGGGCGCAGCAGGAGGAGCGCTGGGCCTGAGCTGCACAAGGGCTCAGGCGTCAATAGGTAGAAAGAGGAAGGGCGGGAAGTACCGACAGGGAGGCCAGTGGGAGGCACTGGGTGGGAGGGCAGGAGGAGCTCAAAGGTGACCCTGAAGTTTGTGCAGAGCAAAGGAGCTCAGTGAAGAGTGAGGGGTGACGCTGGGCCCTGAACACAAAGCCAGGAGGGTGATGCGCACCCTCGGGACCCCGGGGCAGGGCAGGGATGACAGGATCTCGGCCCCAAGGAAGGGTCAGGGCCTGGAGCCAGGCCAGGACCATGACCGCTGTCCCATCCCGCAGACACCTGCTATGTCCTGTCCTTCTCCGTCATCATGCTCAACACCAGCCTCCACAACCCCAACGTCCGGGACAAGCCACCCTTCGAGCGCTTCGTGTCCATGAACCGCGGTATCAATGGGGGCAGCGACCTGTCAGAGGAACTGCTGTGGGTAAGAGCAGTGTGGGGACCCCAGTCCTGTCCTGGGGCCTCCAAGAGGGGCCTGTCCTCACACAGACTGCCCAGCCAGGGTGCCTCTGAGGTAGAAAGACCCCTTCAAGGGGGGGCTTGCACTGACATAGACCACTCAGAGAAGGTCCTTCCTGAGACAGAAAATTCCAGAAGAAGCCCGAGACCACCCCAACAAGGGATTGTCCTGACATAGACCATTCAGAGAGAGGCTGCACTAGAACAGTGAGGGGAGATCGTACAGAGACAGGCCACCTGTCTGGGACAGACCACCCAGGGAAGAGGCTTTCTGGAGAGGGACCATCACAGACAAGTGGTGGTCTCTGTCTTGAAAAGTACAGAGTGGAGAGCGCCCAGGGTAGTCCTCCCAGACTCCAACCCCCGGAGGACTCTGGGAAAACTCCTTTCACACTTCTTCTAGAATCTGGGATTATTTATCTCTCAGTGTGTCAGTCAAAAGTCCTGAATCTCTGTGTCAGACCCTTTTCAGAGACCAGGGGACTGAGGTCCTCTTCAAGGCACATGTGAACCACAGCAGAGCCACACAGAGCCCAGATCTGGTGGCTTCTCTCCCCCCTCCAGACCCTCCCATCACCCATCACACCATGCCAGCCCCCTCACTCAGCACAGCGGGCCCAGGGATTGATCATTCCCAGCCTGTGCCCTTCCTGAGTCTAGGGTCTGGTGAGATGACCAAAAAGTGACTAACAAGTCCTCTGTGAGTCGTGCTAGACAGACTGTGGGACACAGCTGCACAGACAGAATGAGCCTAGAGCTCTCCTGGGGACCGGGAAGGAAGGCATTCTGGAGGACTTCACAGAGGAGGTGGCGGTTGAACAGCGACTGAATGGGAGTTTTCCCAGAGGATAACATTCTAAAAAGAGGATGCTGTCAGAGCACGCAGGCCTGGCTTGAATGGAAAAGAGAGGGAGGAAGGTCAAGGTTGCGTGGTTGGGGTGTGGGTCGTGTGGACAGTGATGGGCGGTGGGTGGGGCCGGAGGGCCAACGCTTCACATGACAGCTGCAGGATCTGACAGCTTTCTACTCAACTGAGCTGTTCCTGGGACAGAAGTGAGTCCTAGAACAGGAAGTGACAGTTCAGGGACTGGTGCCCTTCAGGGTAGGGAGGGGACAGGAGGTGTGAACCCCACCCTCCCAGTTTAGCGCCCCATCCACCTTATGCCTCAGAAGTGTGGATCTTGTTTCATTCCGGGGTGGGCTACGTTTGAGACTATCAGCCAAGAGGTCAGTGGTTTGAACCCATCAGTGGAAGAAAGCCAGGCAGTCATATCCTCTAAAGATATCATATCCCAGAAACCAGGCTTGAGGGGTTGCAAGGAGTGAGAATCCACCCAATGGCCCACTACCTGACTTGATCCTTAGTTTAACATTAGAGGGAGGTGGGGACATTTCTCGGGCCAAATCCCTTCTGGGTGACCTTGGCTGTGACTCACTCTCTCCAAGCCGCCATCCCCTCAGCCAAGGGAGTGAAGTAATAATACCTGCGTCACAGAGCAGCCGTGGGTAGTAATTTAAAAAAATAATGTAAAGGGCATCGCCTCTGCCAGGTACACAGCGGCAGGCTCGAAATGGCAGCTGGTGTCACAATGAGGGATAATTAATAAAAAGCACAGCATTTAGCCACACGCCTGGGACGGAAGACGTATTTGCAGGTTGGCAAGCCTGGGCCTTTGTGCAGCTCATACCTGTCCGGCAGGTAGCGAGTTAATGACATCTGCAGCCCAGCCCCGCCAGGCCCCCAACAGCCAAGCCCCCAGCAACGGGGCCCCCAGCAGCCAGGCCCCCAGCAGCCGGGCCCCCAGTGGCCAGGCCCCCAGCAGCCAGGCCCCCAACAGCCAGGCCCCCAGCGGTTGGGCCCCCAGAAGCCGCATTACTGCACGGCTCCCAGCAGCCTTCTGTAGCTTTGCACGTGTCGGGTATTTTTCCCCAGTTCAAGCCTTTTGTTACTAACAATGCACTTCTTTTGTACAGAGCATGTAACTCTCTTCTCATAGGGCTTACGGGTCTATTATCTCAATTTAGCTTCAAACTCTGCCTGGGAGGTTGGTGGGGAAGGGTTATTATGCTCCTTGGCAGCCGGCAGAGACCTGCAGCTGGTCGGGGAAGGAGTGTGAAAGCAAAGCCACAGCCTAGCCCTGGCGCACCACTTTTGGGCTGTGTGACACTGGGACCTGGCTTGACCTGCCTGAGCCCTAAGTTATTCCTAGCATTAGAGGCAAAATGTCAGGTGTTAAGCAAAGTGCCTAGAAAGTAGAGAGGCTGATTAAGCCCAAAATTCCCCAAGGTGTCATCAAAGAGACACACACAGCTTTGACCTTGCTTTTAAAGCTGCCTCTCATGGACCTGGGGCCAATCTTACCTTTGCGCCCCCATCAGCCTTAAGCACATTCAGATTATCCAAAGCTCCACTTTGCAGGAGAGTCTGTGGAATGACTCCAGCCTGAGCCCTGCCAGCAACATATTTTAAATTAAAAGTCATTCCCACAGATGCAGCATAAAAAGAGCTCAATCCAGGGGCACACAGATATCAAGGGGTGCATATCAGGGGTAGGCTGGGCAGGCAAGTGATAGGAGAACTAACCCAGCTCTGCCCTTAAGGTTGTGCAGCCTTGGATGTGAGCCTCAGTGTTCCCATCTGCAAAGGGGGCTAATGGCCCTGATCTCCCATGTCACATTGTCCTCCAAGAGGCTGAGATAAGGCTTGTGAAGCACCAGGCTCTGGCCAGAGACTGAGAAATTCCAGGAGGGGAACCACTCACCTTGCAAGAGCAGGAGAAGGATGAGGGTGGAGGAGGGGAGGGAGGGGAATAACCAGAAGAGCTTCCCTACCTTCTGCTGTTGCAGGTGGGGAAACTGAGGCTCAGATAGGGGACAGCCTCCCAATCCAGGGTGCCTCTGGCTGTTGGACGTATATGTCCTTGCTCAAATCTCTTCCCTGGTGTGCAGGACAGACCACACCACCACATCTCAGAGGGTGAAAGCAAAAGAAGGGGTGTCATCAGATTTGCAGCACTCCATCATCTGGCCCCTGCTCCAACACACCCACGCACGCACACACACATGTGCACACCCCACCCCTACAAGAAGACATGTAAATCCACTTCTTCCCAGGAAACAGCACGGTCAGAACACCTAGCCCCACCCAGGCAATGAGCTCAGTGAGGGGACCCCAGGGGCCAGCTCCTCCACAGCTTGGGTCCCACTCTGTGATGAGGCAACAGTGGGTTCAGGACTCAGCTGCTTCCCTTCCAGGACTCTCAAGTGGGGAGCCTTGAACCCTGGGTCTCCCCTAGGTCTTGGCAGAGGGGGGCTCAGAGACACTGATTTTAAATGGCTGTGCTATTTCTAGGCATCCCAGTGGGAAGGTAGCCAAGCGAGCGACCATCAAGTCAATTCCAACTCATGGTGACGCCATGTGTGCCAGGGTAGACTGTATACCATAGGGTTTTCAAGAGCTGGTTTTTCAACTGTTGATTGCCAGGCCTTTTTTCTGAGACACCTCTGGGTGAACTTGAACTTCCCACCTTTGGGTTAACAACTCAGTGCTTAATGATCTGCACCATCCAGACACTCTGGAGACAGATTGCACATAATCATAATACTGGTAAGGACAACCAGTTGTCAGAACATACTGCACACAGGGCATAGTCCTATGTTCTCTCGACATTAGGCAAGAGGTAGCATCCCCAGTTTGTACTAAGAAAACTGAGTTCACAGAGAAGTGGCTGGCCAGCAAGTTCTTAGTCTGTGAGGAATCTGGACTTGAAGTCAGGACTTCTGACTCTGGCTTTCCTCTGCACAGACCAGAGGCCACAATTAGGGGTTTCAGAACTTGGCTGGTTTTTTTACATCTTCTGACTACTTCCTGGCTAGGAAAATCTTGGCTCCTGTAACTGAAAAGTTTCAGGATCAACTTGGCTTCAGGTTCCGTTAGAACCAGGAGCTCAATGACTCAGGTCTCTTCTCCTACACTTTGATATCCCTCTTAATGAGCTCTGTCCAAGTGATGCCAAAGACCTTGACCCAGACACCTCCAGGGTTCTAGCTCACTTAGCAGCCCTCTATCCCAGCTTAAACTCAGTGTGATGGAGTCAGTTCTGACCATGGCAACTTTGCATTGGGTTTCCAAGGTTACACATCCTGTTGGGAATGAACTGCCCATCCTTCTCCCTAAGAGCAGCTAGTGGATTTGAACTGCCAGCCTTTTCCTTAGGAGCATCACCAACCAGATCACCAGGGCTCCTTCTTTCTCAGCAATCCAAACAAAAAGTCCCAGACTTAAAGCTCATTGGCTGGCTGGGGTCACATCCTGAGCCAATCGTAAGACAAGCAGGATGAAATTCTGATTTGCCAGATGTGAGTGACCCACCCCCTGGAGTATGGGGGTGGTAGAAGGGGGGGGCTGTGGTACCCACTGGGAGATGAGTTGTTTCTCATTATAACCACCCAGCTGGAGGAGACAGCTGGGCCCAGTGGTTTGGGGGGGTGGGGGATAGGGCTTTTATAGGGGAGAGGCTGACATTTACAAGGTTCAGGAAATGTGGGCAAATGGATCTGCTTTCTTTGTGGGGGCAGAGTGTGGCAGCTGATAAGGAGACTGTAGATGATGCAAGGTCCCCCTGCAGGGTTGAGCGGGGAGGTCTAAGGCCCTCTGTCCCTGTCTGCCTCCTTGGGCTTCCAAATATTTCTCCACTGTCAGTTTTGCTGACAGGGACTACCTGGGACAGGCTCTGTTCAGCCAGCAAGCAAGCATTGCATGGAAATTCCAGAGCTTGGCTAAGCCTGGGCAGGAGGGGTAAAGAGGGTTTCTAGAATGTTCTAGGGACTGAGCCCCCAACCCACATCAAGTCCAGGAACGCGGGCATCAGGCCGTCCGCATCCCCACCCCTGGGCCCCGAGGGAGAGTGGACATTAAAATTTAACAAACGCTATTTCTAGGAGCTGGGGCACACTTGTGAAATTTTTCATTAAAAAATCTCCAGGAAACCATTTGAACAGCAACACACACAAGGGCAAAGCAAAGGAAATGATTTAATTATCTTATCAAAGGAGACACAATACTGTGTCTGGTTTTAAATAAGCAGGAAGAAGCAGTTTTCAGTCTGTGCTTGCAAACACTTGGAGCTCGGGCTGGTCGTTCATGGACTCCCCAGTCCTCAAGTCGGGGGTTCAGAAAACACAGGCATGAGCTGGTGTTCACAGCCATAACTCACCCACAGTGAACCCCTCAGTCCTGGTTTACATACCTCCAGTGATGAGGAGCTCATTACTCTGTGAGGCCACCCCTGCCACATTCAGAAGCTCCTTGGAGAATCAGAATCACCTTCCTAGGAAGTTCTCCCTCACCCCTGCACACGGAGCCCCCCTTCCCCAGACTAGGTCACTTCCTTCTTCTTAGGGTCTGAGAGCAGGGGGTCAGCATCCACTCAGGAGCCTCCCCTTCACCAGGCTTTCTACCCAGGACAGCCATTCCTTTCTTCCTGGCAGCTCCTTTGGGCATTGTCCAAGGAGCCCTGATTGCTCTGTGGGGGTGTGTGTGTGTGTGTGTGTGTGTGTGTGTGTGTGTGTGTGTACATGTGTTCAGGGAAGACTTTACGTGTGATCGTGTGATGCATGGCTCCCAACCATTCTCCTTGTCTGTTACCCTCCCAGGCACAGTGGGACTCCAGGACTCATTCACGTCCCCCAAAATAGCAGCTCTGGGTAGTGAAGGTGAAAGGAGCGGGGTAGGACAGGGGGTGCATGCCTTCCTCACCGCCTCCCCCTTGGAGAGAGGGGAAGCGCTTCTGAGCCCTGTGTGGTTCTGTCACTTTGCTGGAATCCTGGGAAGTCAGCAGTGTTCTCACCTTTTTTGTTTTGTTTTGTTTCCTCAGATGAGGACAAAGCTGTTCAGAGAGGTTAAGAGATTTGCCCAGGGTCACACAGCTGTCAAGTGACCACACAGTATTCTAATCCAGACTCCAAAGCCAGTGTCCCCATCCTGCTGTGTCCAAGTACTGGCAGGTCATGGAGAGCCATGAACAAGGCAGCAATGGCCTCGCAGAGATGCTGACCCTCACTCCTTCAGCCCGATAGTAGCAGGTGGTCTGGGGGAGACTGTGACATTGAAGGGACAAGGACAGCCACAGAGATGAGGGGCACAGAGTGGGCCTGGAGAACTAGAGAGGTGTCACCAAGGGGAACCAGGCGCCAGTCCTGAGCGAGCAGACAGAGGAGGACTTTGCCCAGGGATGGGCTGGCCTGTGCTCGGTCACACGGGACAGGCTGGCTCGACAACCCCACAGGGGAGGGGGCAGGGGGGACAGGCGACCCATCACAGCAGCCCCTCGCTCCTTTCTCGGCAGAACCTCTTCGATAGCATCAAGAGCGAGCCCTTCTCCATCCCGGAGGACGACGGCAATGACCTCACACACACATTCTTCAACCCAGACCGCGAGGGCTGGCTGCTGAAGCTGGGTGAGAGGCCTGGGAGCGGACGCACACATGTGCGGGAGGACGCACGCGCTGGCCTGCGCTCGAACGTGCGGGGACAGGCGGCGGCATGCTTACCTCCACATGCGCACAGATCCACATGTAGAACACACCGCGGCACACCTTGATGCACAGGCCAGCGTGTGTGCTGACATGACCACACGTGTGCGTATGTGCAGGCATGCACGCCCGTGCACAAGCCGACACGCAGTAGCAAGCATGCACACACACACCCGTGCACATAACTGCATGGCGTGCACACACACGCACACCTTCACATAGCCTTGGTGATGGAGTCAGATGGGCCCCAGGTCCTGAGCCTGGCACTCCATTCTGGGTCCCCCGTCCATCCTGGGAATGGTGGCTGTAAGGCAGAGGGGAGAGGAAGGTAGCCTGGACCTCAGTACAAGAGGGGACAGATCCACAGACATGTCAATGGCCGTTCATTTCTCTCTTCAGAGGATGGGGCTGCGGGGTCTTGATGGGAATAACCTGTATTGAGGACCCACGGAATGCAGGCGAGGTTCCAGGTGCTGGCTCAGCCCAGCCTCTAACTCGGCATTCTGAGGATATCAAGGCTCAGAGAGGTTAGGACATCTCGAGGTCACACAGTCAGCAAGTGGCAGATATTGGTGGGTGGGAGGCTGGGTGCCCCAGAAGAAGGGGAGAGCTTGTGGCAGGATGTGGTTCAGGGGAACCTTCCCTCAAGATGCATTAGGGTGGGGCCGGCCCTCCCCCACCCCCGAGCAGCACCTGAGCCCTCGGTTTGCAAGGGAGCTGGAGGTGGGTGTTGCTGTGGTGGGTGCTGCTGCAAAGTCTAGCAGTTGAACCACAAGCCATCCGCCCCTGTCCCCACGTAGTCCCGGAAGCCTCCCTGGTAGAGGTGGCCAGGCCAGGGGCAGTGACTTTGAGAGGCAGGTGAGGGGGTATGGCTGATGCTGGAGCAGGGTCTCACCTGGGGGGCCTTCAGCATCTACTGTGCACCTAGGACTGTACCAGTCCTACCCACTGGAGGCCTCCATCTCCCCGCACCCTCCTCCTCATTGCCCTCCCCTGCACACCACTGACCGCCCTCCTGCGTCAACCACTTGCTCTTAGCCTGACTCAGTCCGGGAAGGGGCCTCTGGAGCCCATAGCCCTGAGTTCAAAGCCCAGCTCCTCCAGTCAGGTGCCTGGGCTTGGGTTCCTCAGCCTCCGTTTCTGCAGCTGTGAAATGGAATCTTAACACTGGGAGGGCTGAAAGTGCAGCGTAATGGCCAAGAGCTAGGGCCCTCGAGCCAGGATCCCAGGGTTCAAATCTCAGCTCCTTTGGGCAGGTGCCGTGGCCCCTCAGTGCCTCAGTCAGGGGTCCTGATGGCTCAGTGGTTGGACCCACCAGCTGCTGCAGGGGAAAGAGGTGGCTGGCTGCTTCCGCCAAGATCGTAGCTGTGGAAATTTATGGGGCGGTCAGTTCTCCCCGGTCCCTTGAGGTCACTATGAGCTAGATCTACGCAAGGGCAATGTATTTGGGTGTCTCAGTTTCCTCATATGTAAAATGGGGGGTTTTAATGGTTCCCTCCTCAGAAGTGGTTCTGAGACTGGTGGTGTTATTGTGTCAGAACTGATCCATAGCTAATCCTCCAGTGGTTTTCAGTAAGTAACTATTGACTGGAAACTTCTAGAACCGTGCCAGGCAAATACAAAGTTGATGCTTGGCAAAGCACCAGGCGAGGAGCAGGCTGAGGGACAGAGCCGGGTGGCAAAGGCCAGAAAGTTCCTGTCCTGGAGCTCTGAAGGCCAGCTCGCGGGGAGCCTGGGGTGATGGGGGCTGTCAAGGTTTGGGGATGAGAATGGATGAGCCGGCGGTGATGGTGCCTAGGGACCCGGTTGCCAGATGAGAACCTGGGAGGAGGAAGCCTGTTCTTCTGGGAAGGGACCATGTTGGCCCCGGAAGGGCAGAGTCTGGCTGACCACCTCCCGGCCTCTCTCAGGGGGCCGCGTGAAGACCTGGAAACGGCGCTGGTTCATTTTGACCGACAACTGTCTCTACTACTTCGAGTTCACCACGGTGAGCTGGGGTGCCCCTGCCCCTCCCTACCCAGCCCCTTCCCTCCACAGCAGTCAGCAAACAGGGCCTCGGGACCCTTTGATATCATTCAGCCCATCTCCAAGCCCATTTTACAGATGGGGAAACTAAGGAGATAAGGAGGAGCTGGGCCCTGGGTTCAAGTCCAGAGTGGAAAGCCGGCTCTTAGCTCCTGGCCAAGTCTCTGCCCTGCCCTCCAGGGCTGGACAGAGACTATGAGCCCACTTCTCTCTGGATTACAGGGCCCCAAGTTCACGTCTTGCCCTTGGCATCCAGGGTCTGAGTGTTGACTTTGCCCTCCCCTCCCGCCTGCAGGATAAAGAGCCACGAGGAATCATTCCTCTTGAGAACCTCTCAGTCCAGAAGGTGGATGACCCCAAGAAGCCAGTAAGTATTTGTGGTGATCTGAGGCCAGAGCCACAGAGCAATTTCCTCAGACAGCGGGAGGTTGGGGAGCCCCAATACACAGACAGATCTGAGCTGTATGAGCCCCTTCCTCTGCCCCTCTGCAGGACACACTCCCACCCCCTGGAGATATTTGCTTTACTACTGTCCCCACCCAGCACTTAGTATGTGCCCCACTCATCTCCCCCCCAAGTCTGGATAACGTTCCCATTCAACAGATGAGGAAATTGAGGCTCAGGTGAAGTGACTTATTCAAGGTCAGTCAGCCAGTGTCAGAGTCTGGCTCCACCTGACCACTGAGACCCTGTCCTTTTCTGTGGCATTGACCTGCCCTGGGGCCCAAGGTTCTGGGAGAGTGAGGGGACACAGTCCTGAGCCGGGCAGAGGGAGTGGTGGGCATGATGGCCTCACCCCCATCCTCCCCTGCCTCCCTCCCCAGTTCTGCCTGGAACTCTATAACCCCGGCTCCCGGGGCCAGAAGATAAAGGCGTGCAAGACAGATGGTGACGGCAAGGTGGTGGAGGGCAAGCACCAGTCCTACCGCATCTCTGCCTCCAGCGCCGAGGAGCGGGACCAGTGGATCGAGGCCATCCGGTGAGGCGCTGGGGTGGGCGCTGCCCCAGGCCTGGTTTCTGATCCGGCCTCTCCTCCCTGATTCTGGGGTGCATATCCCTTCAGCCTACATCCTGTGTCTCCTGGGTCCCAGCACGGGCCCCAGACTCAGGCATGAGGCACGCTTGCACAGGACTGCCGGGCGGACCCTAGGGGACTCTGTGCAGGAGGCCCTTTGCACAGCACTGCACTTGCAGAGCGCCTCCTGAAGGTTGCTCTGTCACCACCAGCAACCGAAGCGGGATGCTGGAAAGGACTGAGCCCAGTGCAAGTGGCGGGAAGGGCCTTCCAGGTGCAGGGCCGATGTGGGCGAAGAAAAGAGGGCAAGTCAGTGAGAGACCTGCTGGAGCGCATCCCAGAGGGAGGTGCTGGGCAGTGCGGACTGGGCAGTGTGGTCCTGGGCAGTCTGGGCACTGGACAGTGTGGGACTGGACAGCATGGACAATGTGGGGTCTGGGAGGGGTAGAGTCTGGGCAGGGTGAGGGTTGAACAGAGGCGGGGACTAAGCAATGTGGGGGTGCTGGATAGTGTGGGCTGGGCTGGATAGAGGCTGGGCAGTGCAGAGCTGGGCCACGTAGGGCTGGACATTGTAGCACTAGGTGGTGTGGGGGGGGCAGGGGTTGGGCAGTGTGGAGTTGGGCAGGGTGGGGCTGGGCAGTGTGGGTGTGGGGCTTGTAGGGCAGGCAGCATGGGCGCAGGGTGGGACGGGGCAGGGGCTGAGCAGTGCAGGCTGTGCCTGGGTGGCAGCCAGGCGGTCTGGGCTGGACAGTGAGCGATGAGGTTGTAGAGGATGGCAAGACCTTGGTTGTCATGGTGATGAGCTAGTCTTTCTCTCGGGGGCCATGAAAGGCTGACGCTGGTAAACAGGACAGGGCTGTAGTCAGGTAAGAAAAGGCACAGCTCAAGGTCTAGCCTTGAAGTTTCAAGTCAAGCAGTAGAAAGACATATAATCACAGCCCAGGGGAGAGACTTAAGCCTCTGAAATGAGCCATGAGGAGGGAGTAGCTGCACCCCTGCCAAGGTCACCATGTCCACCCTCCTGAGGGCTGAGTGGGCACCATGATCTCTAGTTGGAAACTCAGAAACTGAGAAACAGAGAACCAGGAGGGGCTTGTCCAGGGAATCAGCATGCAGGTGGCCGGTCAGGACCAGCACAAGGTCCGCTGTCGGGGTTGTGGGGGGGCTCCCGCCAATCCCAGTTGGTCCCTGGTCCCTGCATTGTTGACTCCAGTATTCTTTCCACCTGCTTCCAAGACAGAGCCTCTAAGGAGGGCATGATTTGGGGTGTGGGCGCAGAATTCCCAAGGCTCTCTGCTTCGACCTGAGGTCGCACATCTCAATCCTGTCCCTGGGCACCAAGCCTGGCCACACTCACCCGGGCCCCATCCCCATTTCCTCTCTTGTTCCAGAGCCAGCATCACACGTGTCCCCTTCTATGACCTAGTCTCTGCTCGGAAGAAGAAGATTGCCAGCAAGCAGTGAGCCTCCTGGGAAGATGCGCTGGGGGCTGCTACCTTGGAACCCCACACACCTGTGGTTCCTGGAGACTCATCTCCCACCCCAGTGCACCCTTTCCTGGTCCAGAGATGTCACTGCACTCATCTGTGACCTCCAGCTAACAGTGGGCAGGAAGTGGGTGAGGACCCCCAGGGCTCAGCATCTGACAATGAGACCTCCTTGGCCTCCACCCCAAGTCCACTACAGTAAATAGTGAGGAAAGCAGGCCTAGGGCCCAGAGCCCTATCTCTGGGACTCAATTTTCCTCGTCTGTGAAATGGCTCCTTGCACCCTAAAATGCCATCAGTCTTCCAAGTAGGAGGAGCCTGGGGGTCCCTGAGCACTTCAGTGGAGTGAAGTAATCTCCACCCTCCCCTCCCCTGAGCAGGGCTCCGCCCCAGCTCAGCCCACTCATGAGGCCCAGGCAACACCAGGACTAGGCAGCATGGGGAGCCCAGACCCTGTGGGCTCCTGTTCGACCTTCATCTCTGATGCCCATGTGGCCTCTACTGTCACCTGCTGCTTCTCCGGTTCCTGGACTAGAGATACTTGGGCCTCTTTGAGCTCTGTGCTCTATCTCAAGGCCCACCTTGGCTCTGGGTGCCAGCAGTCTCTGCCCCCCAGGATTCAGGAACAGCCCCTGGGAGGCCTCAGCAGAACTGAGCTGGCCTCCCTCTTCTGCCCTGGGCTGCCTCTTCTTAGCAAAGGGTCAGGGTTGCACTAGGCAATCTCTCCCTTGATCCTGGACCTGTTTACCCAGTGAGCCCAGGGCAGATCCTGGCCTGAAGGCTCTAGGGACTCAAGGAAGTCCACTTGAAGAAGAAGGGCAGCTGAGACCCTTCAAGAAATGGCAGAGAGCATCCCAGACAGATGGGACTCATGCAAGACTAGTTTTTCAGTCAAGACTGCACTTTGTGAACTGTGGTTATCAGGAAGGCTGCCTGGAGGTAGCAGCCAAGCTGACAAACGACACAAGGCTTATACTCCAAGAGACAGAGTCTCATCCACAGCTTTCTTGCTGGACCACTAGCCTGGGGTCTGGTGTGAGACAGTCACAGTGGGCCTCACAGTCCCCAAACCCTCTGCAACAGACCTGTCAAAGGGGAGTGGCAGCCCTATAGCAAAGCAGGCAGCTCCATGTGCAAGGAGGCCTGGCCTGGAGGAGGATTCCAAGAACAGGCTGCTTCTCAGAAGCACTCTCACCCCTTCACACGGGCCCTGGAGGAAGAGTCCCTGGCAACACAACAGGAAACAGAAATTGCCTCTTCCCCTCTGCCAGCTGGTGCTGTGAGCAGGGGCCAGGTGATTCCTCAGGCAAAGAAGCAGCTCTGTGAGTGCATGCATGCAAACACACCTCCTTCCACAGAGGGTTGGTACTGCTCAAGGATGGAGCTTACCTTTAAGGTGGTGAGACTCCTGTCTTTGGAGGTGTGCAAACATGGTAATGATATTGCACCAGCGAAGATTTTGGTTGGCATATGCACAAAGAGCCAGAACAGGCCTGGATGTTTAAGGACCTCTGAAAGCTCCCTCTCAGAGCTGAGTTCCACTTCCATTGACCCATGAAGGGGCATCCAGGAATCATGGACGAAGCACCGGGCTGGGATCAGGAGGCTCTGGTACACACTGGCTGTGTCACCTTGGCCCACTCCCTCTGCTCTCTGGTCCCGCATCTTCCTCCTTCATTGCTGAGTGGGTGGAATCGGTGAGTTTCCAGGTACGAGCAGCTGTTCTGGAAAATGACTCTGAGACGAGAATAAAGCTCGTGATCCAACTCGTGACTGGTGCACTGTCCTCTGTGTGGCCAAGTCTGCCATCCCTGGACTCACCTTAGCCCTTCCCTCAGTCCCTTTCCAGGACGAGGACAGGAGGGCCAGGCTGGGCAGCGTGCACACTCAGAAGGCTCTGCAGCCTCATCCTCGGAGGCGCTGGGGCTGTCACTCAGACAAGTCCCCAGCAGCTGGCCCGAGGACAGGGCTCCCAGTGGAGCAGGGCAGGTGGGAGCTAGTTCTGCCAGGCCCAGGAAAAGTGGCTTTTAAGCAGCCCCACTACTGTTGGGAAAAGACACCATGCTGGGAAAAGTGGAGGGTCAGAGAAGGCATGAAGACCCTCAAGATAGATTGACACAGTGACTGTAACAACAAGCTCAAGAGTATCAGATCACAAGGATAGGACAAAGCTCAGATCTGTTGTTCCTGGGTCGCGGTGAGCCGTAGCTGACACACCACCACCTAATAACAGTAATAACTGGTCCAAAGAAAGAAGGGGCCAGTGTTTCAGGGAACAGGTAATGAGCTCCCTGTCACAAGGGAGATGCAAGCCACGGCTGGCTTAAATGATCCCTTGAGGTGCTACAGAGGCCTTTCAGTTTGTTGACCTTCATTTAAGACCTCCTCTCAGCAAATATTTATTAAGAACCTTCTGTGTACCAGGCACTGAGGCAAGCACTGAGGTGGGGGGGGGGGCGGGGAGCAATGCAGAACCCTGCCTGTGTGGGGCTCAGGCTGTGGGGGTCCTGGTTTCTACAGGGTGTGCAGGGCTTTGATAGCCCCCCCCCATGCTCTAACCCCTACTCCAGCTGCCTGTCTGAAATCCATCATTGGCACTGAGCAACATATCCAAGAATTTCTTTCATTCCACCCACATTTATTAAGCTCTGTGCACAGAACCAAGACTCCGCAAATGATCAGAATAATCCCTCCCCTCGAAGGAAGCTCCAGGCTAGTGGGCAAGACAGATGTGAACTTGGCAGTGAGCTCTCCCGTCATCCCCCGACCTTGGACAGGGACCAGCCAGGCTGTGCACTTGCTCAGCACCTGGGACACAGGTGCACAATCATTGCTGGTTTAAGCTCAGCATCAGCGGGCCCACGACTGGACCCACAAGGACCGTGAGAACAGCCAGCGCTTCTCGGACGTGAGCGTGTGTCCTGAGAGGTGGGCAGGGCCCCTCACGACTGGGGACTGGACTCAGCCAGCAGCTCTGAGGCATTGGTCCAGGATGCACCCACCCACCTGCCCATCATTCCTCAGTCTGGACAGCAGGGGGCGCCCACCGTCCATGCATGGCACGCCTGCAGCCAGCCTGGGGCCCTGATGAGATGCCCCACACAGAGGCAGGCCTCTGTCCAGCATAGAGTCCCTGGCCTGTGCAGCTGGGAGGCAGAGTGCAGCTGGGAGGCAGAGTGCAGCTGGTCCACTAGGACCTACAGGCTCCAGAAGACAGCAGAGCCCTCCTCCAACTCCCTGGGCACAGGCTTCTCTATTTAGTCTGTTGAGTGGAATACTCCAATTCTCTTCCCTTCCAGCCGTGGAGCATTATTCTCCCAGCTTAGATTCGCCAGCCATGGAGACAAACGAGCAGAACCCACCAGTCATTTACTGGGACAGGCCACGGGGGGGCGGGGTGGGGGGGTGTAGCAGTAAGAGCCTTTCCTCTAGAAACATGGGGCCTGGATTCAAGGCCTCACTCTACCACTTACCCCCAAGGGTCCTAAACTCTCTGCACTCCAGCTTTCCCATTTGTAAAATGTTGCTGCTGTTGTGGGCTGCTGAGTCAGAACTGACTCACAGCTGACCCTCCAGTGAGTTTTCAGAAGCTATAAATTGCAGGGGGGGGGGGTGGAGTAGAGAAATTTCCCAGGGCTATAAAATATACAGAAGTCCTTCAAGCAATGGTGGGTACCTACCTGCAGCTAAACCAGGGCCTATTATTATTATTCTTTTTAAGGGTGCTGCATACATGCTTGCTTATAAATACAAGTCAGGCCGGGTCACTGTGGGAGGGAGGGAGGCAAAATTTCCTAGTGGAGGTTAAAGAACTTTGAAGGCTTCTTGGAAGAGGTTTTTGAGGATGAATATCCAAGTTGAGGTCTGGGCCTTTTAACTGAAAGGACTAATAGAAACCAAGACAAAGAGGAATATGATGAGGTCTCCCTGGGGCTTGCCCCAGAGCAGGGCCAGGCGGTGGGGTGGGAGGCCAGTGCAGAGCCCACAGGACACAGAGGCTGGTCCTTGGACCGACTGAGCATGCTGCAGGGTCCTGGCTGAGCTCCGACCGCACGAGCCCTGCCTGGGCACCAGGAACACTCTGTGATGCTGGACAGAGAAAATCGCTGCCTGGAACAGACAGCTCTGCACAGGATGGGTGCCTGCGAGAGCAGGAGAGGGTGAGGGGGGCAGAAAGGGCACACAGCATCCCTGCCAGGTCCGTGGGGTCCCCAGTAACCCAGAACGGGTGCTGGAGCCGGTGCCAGGGGGGACAGGACGTGTGAAGGGGCATCCAGAAGTGAGCGGCAGGTGTGAGAGACCCGGGGAAATTGATTTATTAGGGACAATGAAAGGAGCTAAATATGTTTTCAGGGCTCAGCGATGACTCAGACTTTCCCCAGGGGTCCACAGAGTGAGAGCATCAAAGAATCAAAGACAGGCCTCCCGCCAGGAGCTGAGGCCCTGGGCTCCTCTCAGCAGTAGAAGGACCACCCAGGAAGGTCCCCAGAACCCAGTCTCTGACAGCACCACGGGCCCAGCAGCCCCACCTGCCAGCCCCACCCCACCCCCTCACCTGGGATGGCTGAAGAGCAAAGCCTGGAAGGAATGTTCCTGGAGATCATGGATCTTGCCCCACGGTGCTGTGTGACCTTGGACAAGTGGTTGACCCTCTCTGGACCCCTTGCGTAAATACCTCAGAAGATGGTGGGAATTGAATGCCGTGGAGGATATAGCACCTGCCACCACGCTGGGCCCTGGGGGAGAGGGAAGGGGGGGGTCCAGCCTGTGACTCCCCTCCCAAGTCCCCTCCCCTGCAGAGAGGTCCAGCCCCCACCCAGCGGCCGCTCCACCCCCTTCCGGTCTGTTAGCGTCACTCCCCCCCTCCCCATTCATCTTCCTTATGACAGCTGTGCGCACAGCCTCCTTGGCCTAAAATCACGTCCCGTCCAGGAGCAGCGCCAGACTCCACGCGGCCTCGTCGGGAGAGGTTGCGTGACGCCGCTGCTGCTGCTGCGGGTTGGCACTGCGGGCTCCGGAAGAAACGGGATGAATCCGGGGAGCGCAGGCCGCAGGGGGGCAGAGACAAGAGGGGGCAGTGACCTCTGGAGCCAAGCCAAGGGGGCAGTGGGTGAGAACCAGGAGCTCT